GTCATAAGAAATTTTCTGCTCAAAATTGAATAATCTACAAAAAACGTCTGAAGACATTTCTCCCCAAAACCAGTTGTACTCAAGATATTCTCACGAACAATAAAACATCCTCATCAATCATTAAATCAGGAAAAGAAATTTCCACTCAAGATCCTAAAAATCAATCCACATAAATCAACAACATAAACCTTGATCCCTCAACTCCCTCAATAATAAGCAGCCGTTCCAACAACAGATTCCCAATGAAAAATTACAGATTTCTGTGATAGATTCCTGCGCTAGATTCCTGTAATAACCCTTCGCCATCAAATTGACTCCATTCCCTCCCTCCAAGCCCCCTAAAAACCGCAATCCCCCTGAACTCCAAAAACCTCCCTCACCCCAATCCCCCAAAAAGCCCTCCCAAATCCCCCTCCCCCCAAACCCCCCCGCCAAATCCAAAAAAACCGCAATAAAGTCTCGCCAAGTGTCGGGTAAAACCCATTTGTGGGCAAAGTCGCGTCACTTTCGTAACAAAAAGAAGAGAGACCGAGTCCCATCCAGTCGAGATAAACTAGATTCCTATCTTCATCAAAACGATTGCGAGCCCGAGCACATCCTGCTGTGCCCCGAGCCCTCTGCCCCTCTCACCCGCAAACAAGATAATTTTGATTGAAACTCACCTCGAGATTAACACATGCCATAATCCTGAGCGGCAGCGGCACGGCCTCGTCATCATAAATCGGCACCATCTCTTCCTCCTTGGCCAAGCACAGTCGGCATAATTCGTTGACGTGAATAATAACGTTGCTCGGACTGTCGCCCTTCTTCCTACTGTACGTCTTCATCTCAATTATTCGGACGTATTCACTGATACGATTGTTATTCGATGCTTCTCACGACTGCAATTTCGCTTTTACCAGTGCAATTTTTGCGTCGCGAAGTGCGGGGGACAACTCAGTCACTCACAACGGAATCTATAATGGCGGCGGTGACGCGTTGCGTCGGGTCGAAAGCGCTCTGCGGAGGGATCAGTTGGGCCGCCATGTTGGCGGGGGGTCGGGTGTCTTCGTCTGGGCGCGCGAGGGGAACGAGGACGGAGGGACGACGTGGCGCGGCGGGAAGGGAAGGGAAATGAGAACGGCGAAAGTAGGGATCCGACGGTGGTGACGCCGCGGCGGCGTCGGTAAGGACGACAATTACCCATTGATTTAGTGGGGCGGGCGGGAAAATTGGTATTCACAGGGGGGCAGCGATAGATACAATAGAATGAATGGGGCAGGGGAGATTGGGGTAAAACGGACACTTTTGACTTTTGTTCAAATGTTAATGGGGGTTGAAATGGGGATTAAATTCAGTATTTTTCTTTTCAGTACTAATCGTTCACGACTAGTGTCGCGGGATTCGCCTGAAATATACTCTTTAATCACTTGTGCGTAAAGTGGAATTTCTCGCACGCTCTGCGTGAAAAATCCAATTTTTCACACATCGTGGTGAAAAATAGCATTCGGTACTCGTGGGAAAAGTGCTGTTTAACCCTTGGGAGGGCAGCACTTCACACCTCCCGCGGGTTGAAAATTGTGAATAAAATATCGAATGTCCTTACGCGTGAAAAAAATAAATAAAAAATCTAGCGAATTCGCTAGGAAATTCTATCGGAATTCTATAGGAATTGTACTGAAAAATTCTATTTGTTTTTTGCACTGATTCTATTAGAAATTTAATTTAAAAAAGTTAATAGATTTCGAATTTCTGTTTGAATTTGTCTCTTAGATTTTTTTCCATCAGAATTATTGGGCGCAAATTTTCTGTTTTCCGCTGGATTTTGTTTTGTTTTGCATTGCAGAATTCGAGTGGAAAAAACTTGGAAAATTGATGGCCAAGAATTCTTACAGGGAAAGTCTCATGAGAAAAATTCAAACAGAAATTCGAACTCTTATCAATACTTAATTTACTTTTTCTTATCGAATCAGCGCAAAAAACAAATGGAATTTTTCAATAGAATTCCAATAGAATTTTCTAGAGAATTCGCCAGTTTGACCATTGAATTTTTTCAAATAGAACGATAAGAGACTGCAATAAAGACGGTGAATTAACACTGGATGAGATTCTCAAAACGATCGAGGGCATTAGTGTACGTTTGAATATTAAAAATAACTCGAGTGAGGAACAAAAATGAAACGAGAGAGATGGGAAAGAGGGGGTTTCGCACGGCGGGAAAGAAAATACGGAGGCGGGAAGAGTTACGTATCGCCCGAAATTTTCAGATTTTAGTTTAGTTTTGATCCCCACTTCTTCCGGCGCACGCGAAATTCCTTCGTCGTGATTTTTCGAGGTATTATTAACTGTTAATCATTGTTTCGGGGTATTTTTGCATTGACAATTGACCAACTCATTGGGAATAACAGCTTCAATAACACTTTATCGAGGGTAAAATCGAAAATTTATGAATTTCGAATGTTTTATTGAACTTTCTCGCGTTTTAAAGACAAAATAAAAATGTTTAAAATGACATTTCCTGCGCGAAATTCCTTCGTCTTGACTTTTCGAGGTATTTTTGCACTGACAATTGACCAATTCATTGTGAATAACAGTTTATATTGAAGCTGGTATGTAACATTCTATCGACTGCAAAATAAAAAATTTCCAAACATCGGATATTTCATTGAATTTTCTCGCGTTTTAGAAATAAAATAAAATTGTTTGAATAAAAAAATCGAAGAGTATTTTTAAGTCCAATAGATTTGTTACAAGTGTCGGAAAATACTGAGATCTTATCCAATTGGAAATGAGAGTATAAAAAATTGAGGAGTGAACAAAATATTCTTTTAAGAATTAAGAAATGATTTCACTTCGGTTGATTTGATGTCAGTGAAGAATGAGGGAAGACTCTCCGAAAAAATAATTCAAATGATTTTTTTAGATTTTGAAGAAATAAAATTATTTCTGCATTGAGAATTAAGCAATTTATTGTTATGTTGCAATTTATTGTGAATGAACAGCTTCATTTCATTTGGTTTTCTCGCATTTTAAAAATTAACAAAACGAAAGTTTGCAAAAATTGCAAAATTGCGAAAGAGAATTTTTAATTCTCTCCAGAATTAAAACACGATTTCACTTCGGGTGATTTGATGTCAGTGAAGAATACGGAAATACTCTCCGGAAAAAAAATTCTGATATTTTTTTTTATTTTAAAGAAGTGAATTATTTTTGCATTGACAATTAAGCAATTCATTATGAATAACGGCTTCATTTCGTTGAGTTTCTCGCACTTTAAAAATAAAATAAAATTGTTTGACTACAAATAATCGAAGAATGTTACTAATCAAGATATTTTATCCAATTCGACCAAAAATTCAAAATTAACAAAACGAAAGTTTGCAAAAATTGCAAAATTGCGGAAGAGAATTTTCAATTCTCTCCAGAATTAAAACACGATTTCACTTCGGGTGATTTGATGTCAGTGAAGAATACGGGAATACTCTCCGAAAAAATAATTCAAATGATTTTTTTAGATTTTAAAGAAATGAAATTATTTCTGCATTGACAATTAAGCAATTTATTGTTATGTTGCAATTTATTGTGAATGAACAGCTTGATTTCATTTGGTTTTCTCGCATTTTAAAAATAAAATAAAATTGTTTGACTACAAATAATCGAAGAATGTTACTAATCAAGATATTTTATCCAATTCGACCAAAAATTAAAAATTAACAAAACGAAAGTTTGCAAAAATTGCAAAATTGCGGAAGAGAATTTTTAATTCTCTCCAGAATTAAAACACGATTTCACTTCGGGTGATTTGATGGCAGTGAAGAATGAGGGAATGCTCTCCGGAAAGATGATCCAAATAATTTTTTCAGATGTTAAAGAAATATGAGATAAATATAATTCCTCGGAATTTCTACATCAAAAATAACCGCGGAGGTAGTAGGCCACGCAGCTACTTGTCGTCGCGAGTGGAATTTCTCATTTATGTTATGTATATGTGATAGTCCGGCTTGCCAGTAGCTCCCGCCGATCCCCCGTAAAATCACTCGTTATCGGAATTATTTTTTGTCCAGCGAGATTTAAAATATTTTAACAGCGAACTTTTAACAGCGATTCGCAATCCCCGTTTTGCCCCACCTCGTTTCACGTGAGACGGTCGCTCGGTTGCTGACATAATGAGTCGCCGCGGACTGAGACAACTAGTTTCCAACTCGTTTTCCTCGTGAACATTTCTAGTAAAAGTGATAATAGGGTAATTGAATTGTTTAATTGTTTAAAATAATTTTTTCAATGTTCCTTAAAATTACTAATTAGAGAGATAATTCGAGAGTTTAATGACAAAACGTAAAAGCAGATTTTCTCAGAGTGACAAGTTTCAACTTTTGATAATTGTTTATTTATATTGAAAACGAGTGGGTTTACGGAAAAATGTCATAAAACCTGTTCTGTTGCTCACAAAATTCCCTACAAAAATGTCTTTTGACATTTTTCTCTAAAACCGCTCATTACCAAGATAATTCTATGCTCAACAAGATGTAAAAACTCGTCATTTGCACAACCTCATATTTTCACTTTTCTCAAAAAGTCAATTTATCCCGAAAACTAATGGTTCTGCAGAAAAATGTCAAAAAACCTTTTGTGAAGCTTAGAAAATTCTCTACAAAAAATGTCATTTGACATTTTTCTCTAAAACCACTCATTACGAAGATAATTCTCTGCTCAACAAGACGTAAAGACTCGACATTTGCACAACCTCATATTTTCACTTTTCTCAAAAAGTCAATTCATCTCGAAAACTAATGGTTCTACAGAAAAATGTCATAAAACCTTTCATGAAGCTTACAAAATTCTCTACAAAAAATGTAGTTCAACATTTCTTTCTAAAACCACTCATTACCAAGATAACTCTATCCTCAACCCCTGAAAACTTGACCTTTGCAAAGCGCAGACTTCTCACCTGTCTCCTTCCCCTAAAACCCGATGTACCTCGAAAAATACTGGTTCTACAAAAAAACATCAAACCACCATTTTTGTAGTCCGCAAAATTCCCCACAAAAAATGTCCTTTGACATTTTCCCCTGCAAGCACCCGTTGCCGTGCAATCCCCACCTTTCAGAAAATCAATTTCCAGATAAACATCGCGAAGTCCCGATACCACACTCGATCAAAGATGCTGGCAGGACACGTGCCAAAGCTTGTTAACAAGCAATTCAATTCTCCCATCAACCTGTACTCGCCGCAGGCCGTTCAGGAGACATTGGAGAGGCAAACAAAAATATTGGCGAATGGTGCTATCGGGTGAGTATTGCACAATCAATTATTTATGAAAATCTCAAGCCCTCGGTTGTCCGAAATATTTCGACGATGGACTGACGCCAGAATATCCGAAGGACCACGCAGATCTGCGTCAATGTTGTGAAATTACTGTATCTCATTATTTGTTACTTAAGAAAATGCTAAACGCCGTTCACAACAGATAGATTGTTACATCTGTTGGCACTTGAGTGTGGAAAACCACTTTGCGTCAATGATTGGTTCGGGGAATAATGCATCGAGGGGATGAATCAGACATATTTATTTTCAGATTAACGAATCACTCCCAAGAGCAGAAATACATTTTGTCCGAGGTGCTCTCGCGAATTTTGAGCCTGCGAATTGCGCAAAAGTCGCCGCACCACTGCACTTGACTCAGTTTTTCGAATATCACGGCTGGGGCATTGATTCGCGATTGACTGATCGGTTCGGTACGACGGGAAGAGCAGCTGCGCTGTCAATAGATCAATTAATCATGAGGTTCAACAATTTAGTGATTTCACATACCGTCGGATTTTTTTTGACAATCAAGCAATAGTTGCAGTTGAATTCTCAATGTTGTGAATTTCAATTCAATTTTAGGGGAGACTACTAGCTGTTTCAAAAGTCGCGGGCTATTGGAGTGAGATTTCTCATGCGGTGAAGATCGATTATATATGTCTGAAAAGGAATAATTAGTGCACAATCATTAGTGAAAATAATTAATTAATCTACCAGTTGAGTTTTTTTTTTTTTTTTTTTTTTTTTTTTTTTTTTTTTTTTTTTTTTTTTTTTTTTTTTTTTTTTTTTTTTTTTTTTTTTTTTTTTTTTTTTTTTTTTTTTTTTTTTTTTTTTTTTTTTTTTTTTTTTTTTTTTTTTTTTTTTTTTTTTTTTTTTTTTTTTTTTTTTTTTTTTTTTTTTTTTTTTTTTTTTTTTTTTTTTTTTTTTTTTTTTTTTTTTTTTTTTTTTTTTTTTTTTTTTTTTTTTTTTTTTTTTTTTTTTTTTTTTTTTTTTTTTTTTTTTTTTTTTTTTTTTTTTTTTTTTTTTTTTTTTTTTTTTTTTTTTTTTTTTTTTTTTTTTTTTTTTTTTTTTTTTTTTTTTTTTTTTTTTTTTTTTTTTTTTTTTTTTTTTTTTTTTTTTTTTTTTTTTTTTTTTTTTTTTTTTTTTTTTTTTTTTTTTTTTTTTTTTTTTTTTTTTTTTTTTTTTTTTTTTTTTTTTTTTTTTTTTTTTTTTTTTTTTTTTTTTTTTTTTTTTTTTTTTTTTTTTTTTTTTTTTTTTTTTTTTTTTTTTTTTTTTTTTTTTTTTTTTTTTTTTTTTTTTTTTTTTTTTTTTTTTTTTTTTTTTTTTTTTTTTTTTTTTTTTTTTTTTTTTTTTTTTTTTTTTTTTTTTTTTTTTTTTTTTTTTTTTAAGAGGAATATCCCTGAATCTAAGCGAGATAGCGAAATTTTCGTTATTACATTTATTGTTGCTCTCAATCGGCTCTACAAAAAAGGTTATAATAAAAATTTTGCTATCCCCCTTAGATTCCGAGATATTCATTGAAAACTGGTTCAATAGTCAAAATTGAGTTGTACCGTTTTACCACTTCGCTACTGAATTGTTTGTGGTTCGTTTGTCCACATTTTGTCAAAAATTTTGAAAGAAAAACTGGCTCAAAAATTGGAGGCCCTGCCCTATTTTTAATCTTTTAAGCGTCTGCGGGGCAAACGAAAAGTAAACAATTTATTTTTTTGCACCAATTATTCGGTTTTAGACAGATATAATCGATCTTCAATGCATGAGAAATCTCACTTCAATAGCCGGGACTTTAAAAATTCATAATAGTCTCCCCTCAAAGTTGGAAATTTTCTAGAATTTTCAAATTCATTGCGGAAATTGAACATCACATCCAACAGAATTTCCAATGGATCGAAAATTTCAATTGCATTGAATGCAACAGAATTCAACTGATTTTTAAGTAACAAAATACATGAAAATTTCGCGTGATTGAGTGATTGTTAAAAATTTCAAGATTTTTTACGTGAAATTTCACAAGTTATTTTCTAACAGTGTAATTAGGGGGCGAGGAGGGTGAAATGGATCTTTTCAATCGGTGATAACTCGGGATCGGCAGAGTGAAATTGAAGCTTTTTTCTTGCAATTTGAAGGTTTTTTTTCGAGGTTTCAAATGAGCTCCGATTTTTTCGAATCGCGTCGTTGGGAAGGGAGATATCGAGGGTTTTGGAAGGTCTATTTGTCCTCGTCTTCGAGTTTCGGGATTCTTGGGGATTGATTCGTTTACTCGGGTTTTAGGATTGACTTCAATCAACTGGCAAAACCAGCGAATCTGCAGAACAGCGCGGTTCTCAAGATGCTGGAGGAGGAAGAGGCGAGGAAACGCAGTGGTGGACAACCCGGTGAGTTTTCATTCCGATTTTTCTTTCCAGAAGAGAAAAAATGAAAATTAAACTTTTGCTCAATTTTTAATATCACGGGAAGGGTTGGAGCCACTTTGATGGGTCTGTTCTCATTTTAAGAAATGGAAAAATATGTTGAAAATGAAAAAGAAAATTGGAAATTCCACTCAGCCACTCTCCAGATTTTTATTAGCGAAGAATTATTTTATCGGACGATTTTTCTTTCTAGAGGAGAAAGAATGAAAATTAAAATTTTGTTCAATCCTCAATATCTCGAGAAGGAATGAAGCGATTTTGATGGGTCTTTTCTGATTTTAAAGAGTGAAAAAACATCTTAAAAACAAAACAAAAATTGAGAAATTTCACTCAGCCAATTTTCAGATTTTTATTAATAAAAAGTTCTTTTTTCGAGGAATTTTTTTTTCTAGAAGTGAATGAATGAAAATTAAACTTTTGTTCAATTTGCAATATCTCGTGGAAAAATGAATTTCATTTCGAAGAGTGTACAAATATGTTGAAACAAAAAGAAATGGTAAATTCCACTCATCCAATCTTGAGTTATTCCCGTTGAAAATGACTGATTAAGATTTTTTTTTAATATTTTTTATATTTCATCGATTTCTGTTTCGTTTAGATCTAATAATATTTGAATAGGGGGTATTAATGAATCAGTATTATGTTATTCCTGGCCAGTATGATTCATCTAGTGTCTAGGTGGCACGTCGTTAAGGTTGTAAGGTGAATTTATTGGAACGAGGTACGAGAATAAAATTAATTGTCAGCCCCAGAAACCTAACTAATTGGTGTGACATCATACACGAAGAGCATTCGAGTCAAAATGTTCAGCAATCGTCATTCCAATCTCATCAAATTTGTCAATTAAATGACATGAAGACAATTTGAAGGAAAAAAACATAAAATGTGAAAATGAAAAAATTGAATTTATTAAACTTCATATACTCATAGATGTTTTATGAATATTGACAATGACTTAAAGAGAATTAAGAGAATGAAAAGTGAAACATCAATGAATAATTTTTAATCTTCGATTAATTTTTTTTTTACTTTTTAAAATAATCTGATTAAAATCTGTAATTGTTGAAAAATGAGGGGAGGGTTATGAATTGATTTCTTAGAAAACTGAAAAAATTTCTTGAATTCTTCGGAAAATTTCATTTTTCCGAATTACTCGGAAAACCGAAGAATGTTCATGAATCTTAGAGTTTAGAATTTATCCATGAAAATCTGAGAAGCAAGAATTGATCATTTTTGCGTATGATAAATATGAAAAACTTAAAATTTGGGAAGTGAAGAATAATTTCAGTAGCGAAGCGGTAAAGCGGTTCAAGTCGATTTTCACTACTGGTCTGTTTTCATTCAATATCTCGGGATCTAAGGCAGATAGCAATATTTTTATCATGACCTTTTTTGTAGAGCAGTTTAAGACCTGCAGAAAAGGTGATTACAAAAATTTCACTGTCTCCTTTAGATTCGGAGATATTCCTCGAAAACTCAGGTGAGAGCCAAGTCGACTAGAATCGTTTTACCGCTTCGCTACTGATTTGTGCGTTAAAAAAATTTAGAAATACAATGTTTTTTTTTCTCGTGATCAACAATTAGTCAATTTAGATATGTTTTGATATAAAGATAGACTTCACACATGAAAAAATGAAAAATATGACGGTGAAAAATTTTTCCCGATGGAAAAACAGTCGAGATAACGTTGAAAGGGCTCCACATTACGCACATTTGAGAAAAAATCCTCTTAGATTTCTGTAGAACTCTCAATTAGTTTCCTGCCGATTCTCTTGAAATGATCAACAGAAAATATTCTCTAGAGACTCGATAAAATTCAATTTTCTCGAATTTTCATTTGATTTTCTTCATGAAAATAAAAACAGAATAAAAATATTACCGTCTATAGAAATTCTATAAAAAATATGTCGACAGAATGAAGAAAAAAGTTGTCCCGGAAAATTCTAATTCGAATTCTATTGACTTTTCTATCGGAATCCCCCCCAATCGTCCAAATTCGAATTCTCTGGATTTTTCAATTAAATTTTTCGTACGCGTCACCTTCAAATATTTCCACCTGCTCCGCCTCTTTTTTTTCTGAAATATTACACTCGCCTCTGCTTCCATAATGCTCGGATTTCACCTTTTATTAGTATAATAGATGAATATGCCCTCCCCCCTACCCGTGAAATCCTGGCATCGTATTAAAACCTTGGATGTATATAAGTCTCTAAAACCGTTTGCCGGGTCGTTACCGCGATTATCGCGAGTATGTGGTCACCAGTCGGTCTTTCAGTTTGTCGGTGAGCTCTAGTTATCCCGATATTCTTCCTAGTGTCACGTCAATTAAACCCGAGAGCCAAATAATCTGGGTGAGGTGCAACTATTCCCTCGAACATTTGGATTCAGTGATCAACAGACTAGTGCAGTATAGATTAATAACTAATTAACCGATTGATTAACGACTTGTTCGCTTTTGGCAGCGATTTGACACTGCGATTGCACCGATTTTTCGACGGCTCACGCGCGCCAGATCGGCATCTCACGACTGAGATGCCTGAGATTTTTTCCATCAACGTCGAAAAAATTTAACAGAAAAACCTATCGAATTCGTTGGAAAATTCTATTGAATTTCTATTAAACATTCTATTAGTTTTTGGCTGATTCTATTGACATGTTCGATAAAAAAACATCCAATGGAAAAAGTCAACTGAATTCGATTTTTCTATAGAACTTATTCTTTTCATTTATTTTCTATAGAATTTGCTCGACTCAAATTTCCGAAGTTTTTTTCATTCTTTTTTTTTTCTTCTCATCAAGAAAGTCAAACGAAAAAATTTGGAAAATTTGAGCCGAGGAAACTCTATTGACTTTTTCTATTGAATATTTTCTATTGAACAGTTCAATAGAAATTCAATAGAATTTTCTAACGAATTCGATAGGTTTTTCTATGAAATTTTTTCGTCCGCGCAGTTATCCCATTTTGAAAAAAAAGATATCCTGATTCTGGTGTTTTTATTTTACAAAAAAATATTTTTCACCTGGAAATAGAAAATTCGTTGACGAAGCCTATATTGTTAGTTACGGCTTTATTATTGATAACTGATAAAAAACAAAGCGTCTATTGACGTTCAAAGAAATGAGAAGTCTGAGATTCTAAATATAATTAGACAAAACTTCATTAAGATAAAAATGTTGGTATTTTTCACTGTAAAAACTGTTTCTACCACAAGATTAATATGGTTACTTATGAATAAACAAAACTTTACAAAAAAAAATAATAATAATCTCATTTTTAAATGAAAATCATCGTGTTTTGAAAATTCTGGATTCTGCGGTCTCTCGCTAAATATAACGAGGGCCGTGGGACTATTAATACGTAGCATTCGATAGCACAAAAATATGTTGTTCACTTATTTCTGCGAATTTTTTATTTTTTACTTTTTCTTCGGATCGGGGGAAGTGGCTGGTGTTGATCGGTTGTTCGGTGGGTGGGGTGCTCGCACGAGAATATTTTACAGCAAAATGTTTTGGATTTTGTTGGAAAATAATTCTGATGAACTTGTGGTGGAGATTTTGTTTGGTTTTGGGCGATTCTTTTCGGGAATTCCGCACCGTTACTGTGATAATGTGCTGTGATAATGTCCGATAAACACGATTTTGGTGAAAAAAAGAAGTTCGTATTTCTAGACAATTTTTTCTGCAGAAATTCGTCGATATGAATTTTTCAAATTTTTACGCTCTATTTTTCATCTTTTTTTATTAAAAAAAATTAAATTATTTTATTTTTTTGGAAATTTGAGATAAATTGGATTGGAAAAATCGAATTCAATTGAAGTTTTTCTGCAGAAATTTGTGGACAAGAATTTTTCAAATTTTTATACTCCATTTTTCATTTGTTTTCATTTTAAAAAATAAAATACTAAAATTTAGGAAATTTGGAGATGAATTGGATTGAAAAATTGGAATTCTATTGACTTTTTTCTTTAGAATATCTTCTGTTGAACTTCTCCATTGAAACAAAAAAAAACGTTCAGGTAAACGGACAAAAACGAATGGAAAAATAAATAGAAATCTAATAGAATTTTCTAGTGAATTCGCTAGTTTTTAAAATTAATAAAACATTCTATTGGATTTTTATTGCATTTCTATTGATACATTTTCTACAGACTTTCTATATAATTTTCTGTAGAATTTCTATAGAGTTCGTCAATACCAATTTTCCCAGTTTTTTTCACTCATTTTTTCCGCTCATTTTAAATCAACCAAAAATAGTAAGAAAATTCGAGACAATTCTCTTTCTTTTATATTATCGAAATTTGTCTTGATGAAGAGAATGAGATAAAAAACGCCAGTAAAATCCATTCTGTTCAATAAATAAATATTCAAAAATTGAGACGGAAAATAACTCAACTCTCGAGAAAGTGAAATTCAACAATTTTTCTTTCATTCTCAACATTTTTCCATTCTCATTGTTTTTTTTCGTTGAACGAAGAATGTTCATTTTGGCCCGTGTGTAGATTCGAGTAGTGATTATCGTAAAATTCAAAGTTGGCTCTAGTTCCATCGTCACAATGAAGACAAAATATTCTCTGTAACGATGCTCAGCCCAGCCAAGTGAAAAACTCTCCCAAAGTAAATAGAACGTTCGATTCAATCCGCACGAATTTCGCGATTTTCCCCGCGTATTGCATTAGATGGCGAAATCGCGGTTTATAAGGATGCAATCAACAAACTACAACACGACTTCTATCGGAGAATTAATTTAATTTGGAGAATTAATTAAAAAATGGCTCAATGTGTTGATAATAATAATTTTTGATTTCATGTAACATGCGGCGTTATTTTATGAATTTCTTCATGCAAATGCATAAGTAATATTTTTTACATATCATTTGCATGAAAAAATTGATTAATTAATTAATTCACTCATTCATTTCACCAATTGACGTTCATTTTATTAATTTGTTTATTTATTTCGTGAAGTTTTTCATGCAAATGCATAATACAATATTTCTTAACGATGAAAAAATTATTGAAATGGATTTTTTCATCCTTTCGAAAGAAATATATAATGCCATGATTTTTTTTCATGCAAATGTTTAATGTTTTTTATGGAATAAAAATCCATTTCAGACTTCATGATTAAATTGATAAAATGTTATTAAATAAAGAACAAATGATTTATTTCGTGAGAACAAAATATCCAAGAAATTCGATTTTTTAGCAAAAAACAAATTTGACGATTAAAAATAATTTTTATTAAATAATTTTTATTAAAGGTTTGAAACGAGTAACTTGGCCTCCCCCAGCCGGTGACGACGACATCGACTTCATCGAGCAATCACCAGTCCAGGCAAAGGTAATACCTCAAAACCCACGAGTCCCCTTAAATATCAATAGATCTAGATATTCACGCATGACAGTTTGTGTAACCGTGTGGACTCTCGAGTTCGCGGTTGACTACTCAAGTTTATCGTGGTTGGACTATTGCATCAGGAAATTCACCCCTGGAATACGATCCCTCGCGTGTTGAAATAATCCAAAGAATAAGAGATATTGGAACATCCGAAAAAAATTTATGGAAAAACCTAGCGAATTCGACTCTGTTTCACGTGTTTTTTCAATAGAAATTTTTAATGAATAATATTCTACGGAAAAAATCGATAGAATTCGACTTTTCTGGATAAATTATTCTATAGATATATTTTCTGTTGGACATTTTCTATTCTATTTATATTCAATTTTCCCATACAAACTATTCCACTGAAGTATTTTCTACAGAAATTCCTCGTTTCAAATTTTCCAACTTTTTTCCTTTGATCTTTATAATGAAAAGAGAAAAAAAAATAGTGGAAAAAATAGAAAATTCACGTCGAGGAATTCCTATAGAATGTCCCAATAGAAAAAGTTGTATAGAAATATGAAATTCTGCAGATTTTTTCTATAAAAATTGCCCATTGTACATTTTCCATTAAAAAAATTGAAGTTTTTCAATGGAATCTGTAAAAATCTAATAGAACTTTCAGTGGAAATTCCACAGAATTTTCCATCGAATTCGCGAGGTTCTCCATAAATTTTTTTTTCTGCGTGTGAGGAGGAACTGACAAAAATATTTCTTGCGAAGACTCGGGGAGTTGGTGAGTACGCATCATACGAGACGAGTCCCTCATCAGGTCCATCGCCTCAACCTCATACGTCTCTGCCCTGTGCATCACCACAACTATCCACTCCCTTAAGCCCTGGGGGGACATTACGAACACCTCAGGGTTATCAACATCAAATTGCACCAAAACCCTGGGCACCTGTTACACCACCCGCAACCTCTCCATTGCCAGCGCATGAAATATCCTGGGGATCGCATCGGTCGCATCAACCGGTATTCAAGGTAAGTCTAGGGGGCTACACCCCTTGCTCGCCAACCCCCATATGACCCCCATAACCCTTATTTAGGCCCTTATCATGAATCTTAATGTGATCCTTGTGAGCCTTATTTGGAGCCTTAATCCGACCTTTAATCTTGTGACCCTTAATCTGACCCATGTGACCCTTAATTCGATTCTTGTGGCCCTTATTTGGACCATTATTCTGGTCCTTAACCTTGTGACCCTTATTCTGACCCATATGACCCTTAATTTGACTCTTTTAACCCTTAATCTAACCCTCACGACCCTTAATCTAACCCTTGCGACCCTTATTGTGGTCCTTAACCTTGCGACTCTTATTCTGACCCATATGACCCTTAATTTGACTCTTGTGACCCTTATTTGAACCATTATTCTGACCCTTGCGACCCTTAATCTAACCCTCACGACCCTTATTCCGACCCTCATGGCCCTTAATCCAACCCTTGCGACCCTTATTCTGGTCCTTAACCTTGCGACCCTTATTCTGACCGATATGACCCTTAATTTGACTCTTGTGACCCTTATTTGAACCATTATTCTGACCCTTGCGACCCTTATTCCGACCCTAATGGCCCTTAATCTAACCCTTGCGACCCTTATTCTGGTCCTTAACCTTGCGACCCTTATTCTGACCGATATGACCCTTAATTTGACTCTTGTGACCCTTATTTGAACCATTATTCTGACCCTTGCGACCCTTATTCCGACCCTAATGGCCCTTAATCTAACCCTTGCGACCCTTATTCTGGTCCTTAACCTTGCGACCCTTATTCTGACCGATATGACCCTTATTTGAACCATTATTCTGACCCTTGCGACCCTCAATTTAACCCTCACGACCCTTATTCCGACCCTCATGGCCCTTAATCTAACCCTTGCGACCCTTATTCTGCCCCTCATGACCCTTATTTTGACCCCTGTAACCCTTAATTTTGGAGTCTTAATTTTGAGTACCCAATTTTCATCACCAGAAGTCAATTTGGATTTTTTATTCATCCTTCTCACATGTGTTTCTTGGTACTCAATAGCTCTCAATTTTTTTTTACGCTCGCCAGGTTCATTTTTTCCATTTTCGCATTTTTTTAACTAAATTTTGTGGCTCGAAAGAGGTAAAAAATAATTTATTAGTATTTCATATGTATTTCACGCAGTGAAGTCGCGGAATTCTTCAACAGAATCGACCAAAAGCTAATAGAATTTCCTACAGAACTCCCTAGGTTTTTCCATAAAATTTTGATTAAAAAAAGTATTGAATTTAATCCGGAAGCTTTGTAGATATTGAAGATCGGAGGTGTTCGTTTTGGGGAATGTCAGTGAGATGATGATGAATTGTCAGTAGTCAACTAAAAACTCATGTTCACAAGTTGAATGAAATTCGTTGGTGAAAATTTTTGGGAATTTATTTCCGCAGAAATCGGACTCGATCGAGGGAGCTGCTCCTAGGCATCAATCATCCCAGCCTTTTTCTCAACCACCACCATCTGTCATCACTTTGAGGCCTGAACCACCAATTTCTCAGGTACAAAAATTATTTTTTAATATTCATCCAATTTCGTTTCTTGGACTGACCTTGTTATTTTCAATTTTTTAAATTTTGTGCTGTTTTATATTGTGAATGGATAGAAAATGCTATTGAACGTCGATTGAAGTTTCTCTCCACTGTCTCCCCTCAATTTTTCTTCTCTTGTAATTGAAAAAAAAAACAAACAAAAAATAATAGAAAATTTGAGCAGCCGAATTTCCGCAGAAAATATCTCAACAGAATAAGTTGTGCCGAAAAATCTACCTCCTGATTTTTTCTATAGAACGTATTCCACTGGCCATTTCCATTGAAACCAGAAATATTCACAGTTGAATAATACAAACCACCGGCAATGAATCTCGCATTAATAATAATCATTGGCTGTTGATCAAAGCCATAACACATAGCAGCAATCCTTGAAGCCTGACAGATTGGCTGCATTACCTGGAGACCAGTCTATTTTCACCTAAAAATCACGCGTTAATCCCCGCAAATTTTTCAACCGGGCAGTGTCCCAAAACACCCGTCCCAATGTCATAATTTACAGTTTAATATTTATAAATAAATGTACAACACTGATGTCCAACAGCAACCAGCGCCAGTTTACCAAGCTCAACCAGCAGCAACAATGGCCCCAGTGAGTGGTAACATGCGAGGGGACATGAAGTGGCCACCGGCGTCAGTAAAAGCACAGACAGAGGCGGAAAATCGTGCGAGAGTGGAATTGGCCAAGGGACCTATATTCAGACCACGTCGAGTTAACAAAGATTACAGTGGCTTTTTCGCTCAACACGCCCTCAACAGCACCTACCCTGGATACAGAGCACCCCCTGGCACCCAATACTTCACGCCATCCTATCAACACTAACGAATAATTCTTTAAAAAAAAAAATACCGATGCTAAATCGACGATTTTTTTTTCATTTTGAAGACTGAAAAACAGACGTTAAAAATGAAAGAAAAATCCAAATTGCATCATTCGTTCGGAGGCATTGGAGATTGAAGAGGATTGGCCTGTCCCCTATCGAAAATGTGCGGAGACTATTCACACATTTCCGTAACGACTGGAGAGAAATACCCGATCACTGTGGGGTAATCATCCTCAGCTGTTTCCAGTCATCGAGTTCAACTGATTATTTCTCTTCACAAGACAATTCGTGTGGTGAACGGTTACCTAGAGACTGACTTTCTGCTCGAAATTACTGGCTTTTCACGAAAGAACAAATATTTATCAGTCACTAACGCTTCTTTACTATTGGTGATCACTGCAACGACAATTTGTCAGCGGATGATATTACTCTGAAATTTTTCTTTTTGAAATTTATCTTTAGCGCTGCATGAGGCGCCCGAACATCGGCTGATAGATCTGGAACTATTGAGAGAGAACGAACGACGAGACAAATCGAATACTGAGCGCACGACTTACCTGTTAAATGCTTTATTGTACAAAATGTTTAACGATCAGGAGATGACAATCTTGGTGTATTTTTTTTATAATTATTCAACGATATTTCGTCGAGGATGATGTACTCAATTGTGGTACTTACTAACATTAGTGGTGATGATGGAGATTATGCATTGATGTAGATGATGAAATAAATTATTGCAATCGTTGAAGTTTTTTTTGAGCCATTGCTCTATTTTAGGGTAGGGGGGATTTGAAATCACAACCTTCAGATTACTGAGCTGATGCTTTTACCGATGGGTTATCACAAATGATTTATCGAATGATCGTTGAGGCTATAGAAAAATCATTGGATTTTTTTGAACATCCACTAGTCCAATTTATCGATTAAACACTGGGAATTGAGAATGAATTTCACGTCAGGGGGATTTGAACTCGCAACCTTCAGATTACTGAGCTGATGTTTTTACCAATGGGTTATCACAAATTATTTATCGAATGATCGTTGAGGCTATAGAAAAATCATTGGATTTTTTTGAACATCCACTAGTCCAATTTATCGATTAAACACTGGGAATTGAGAATGAATTTCACGTCAGGGGGATTTGAACTCGCAACCTTCAGATTACTGAGCTGATGCTTTTACCAATTGAGCTATAATACCACAAATGATTTATCAAATATTCGTTGACACAACGAAAAAATCATGACAAAATAAATAAATCAATGGATAAAGGCAAAGGACCACGTCATTGAAACGAAATGATCTTCAATAATAATTTCGCAAATGACTTTCGAATCCATTCTATTATAAACACCCACATCTTAACCCAATAATTAATGTTAGGCCAGCCTAACAAAAATTATGTACACGTTGTTTATTCGTAATAAAAAATTATCTTGATTTTGACATACATCACCAATTGGCGTCGCCCGTCTGGCGATCGATTTGTTACAAAATATCTTGAGAATGATGATGCGCGGTCATCAGACCAGCGAGAATCCCTGGGTTTGTTGAATGGCTTGAAGCAGTTTGTACCTGAGTCTCTCCCTTGTTTGGTATCGTGGCAAGTCAAGAAGATTAAAACATGTGTGGGCAACTGGTAGATATTTATCATCAGACATTGGCTGAATAGTAATCTGAAAGATGAAAAAACAATGAAGAATAATCGCAAGTCGATTGCTTCATAAATCATCAATAGTGATGAACTAGTGATTAATTTATACTATTTCATTTTCTTTTCATTTCCGTCTTCACAATTAGATTAATTTTATTTTATTTCTCATTCTTATTATATTTTTTTTTCCTTAATTCACAAGTGACAACATTGAATGAACAGGAATTATGTTAAAGATCAATAAATAGTGATGAACTAGTGATTAATTTATACTCTTTCATTTTCTTTTCATTTGCGTCTTCACAATTAGATTAATTTTATTTTATTCATTCTCATTCTTATTATATATTTTTTTCCTTAATTCACAAGTGACAACATTGAATGAACAGGAATTATGTTAAAGATCAATAAAGTGTTGACAAAATAAAAGTCATTCGAAATCTCATTCGGATAAATGAAAAAATAATCAGAACGGGATAATCGGCTAGAAAATGGATTATTTTCTTCTTTCCTGCCGGCGATATCTTCGAATCACTTCTTTTCTTCAACTATTAGAGGGATCTTAATATTCCATCGAGAAGGAATTCAATAATTGCAAAAAAAGCTGTGAAGAACTAAAATAATTAATTTTTCAATGTCTCCGGAAGGTTTTAAAATCGATATATTTTTCGAATAAAGGACGAATACCAATAAATTCAATTTCTACTTATCTTTTAATAGAATGAATAGAATAAATGAGAGAAATTGAGAACAGTAGACTACATTCCGAGCGAAGTGGTAAAACGGTTTAACTCGACTCATCTCCCAGTTCACGTTTTGCGGAATATTTCCGAATCTAAGAGAGATAACGAAATTTTCGTAATTACATTTGTTGTAGCTCTCAATCGGCTCTACAAAAAAGGTTCTATCAAAAACCGTGCTATCTCCCTTAGATTCCGAGATATTCATTGGAAACTCGTCAATAGTCAAAATTGACGTATATCGTTTTACCACAAAATTAATTAATTAATTTAGTAACGAAATGGTAAAAACGGTTTAACTCGACTCAACTCCCAGTTCACGTTTTGCGGAATATTTCCGAATCTAAGAGAGATAACGAAATTTTCGTAATTACATTTGTTGTAGCTCTCAATCGGCTCTACAAAAAAGGTTCTACCAAAAATCTTGCTATCTCCCCTAGATTCCGAGATATTCATTGAAAACTGGTCAATAGTCAAAATAGACCCACATTTTTACCACAAAATTAATGAATAAATTAATTCTCCCCTCTTATCATTCCGCAACTGGCGCTACAGTACCTTGATAGCCTTCATCCCCTGAATGGGTATCCTGTCGCTCCCCGTGAGGAACAGCAGGAACTTCTTCTTCTCCTCCAGTGGAAGTTCGTGAAAAATCCTCCAGAACATGACGATCGTAGGATCGTCCTTGGAATAGCCCTCCTTATACGCGGCATTCTCCTCCAGCTCCTTCCAGTCATAGTTCTCATTCCCCACCACCACAGCCATCAGCTCATGACTATAAAACAACTTGAGCACATGCCCCCCACACACCTTATGAAACCCCTTGTAGAACGCCCCGAACTGCGACTCCACCGACTTATTAAAAATATAATCCACATAAAGATCAACAAACTCCTTCTTCCTCTCCAAAGTCACCGGCATCTTGCTCCCCCCCGGCACAAGTTCATAAACCCTCTGCTCCCCAAAAACTTCTCTCGTCACCTCAAAGTTGAGGCAAAATACCTCCTCAAGGTCCTGCTCACCGTAATCCAAGACACTTTGCAAACTCTTGGCGAGAACCGGCGACAGATCCTTGAGATCAGCCAGAGTGACCCTCTCCCCGAGTAGTTTCTTGTAAAGAGCCAGTGGAAAGGGCAGATCAATGATAATAAAATTGTAGATAACGAGGCCACAGAGAATGCCAATTAAGAAGTACATCTGCTCGCCCTCGAAGGAGTCCTCGCTGAACCAGATGGTCCTGGTCTCCTCGAACTGCTTGAACATGCCATACTTGGGATCGAGGATCTCCTTCAGCAGAAGCATGAAGAACTCCTTCTTGACCCCACCAGCGTCCTCGGCCTCCTCCCCACAAAACTTGACCCTCAGCGGTTTCTTGAGATCACTGGAGTCGTGGGCCGACAGCTCCCTGAGGGTATCCGCGACAATATTCTCCCTGGAGACATTGAGCATGAGAAACTGCTGAACGCTGGCTGCAACGTTCCCAGCGAAGAAGATGTTCCTGATGCCCCTGTTGGCAGCCTCGTTCATCGCCGAGTGCATCTGTATCGCCTGATCACTCTCCAGGAGAATCGTCTTCGCTTGGGCATCGAACAAGAAAGGATAATTGCAGAAGGGAACACCAGTGGAGAACGGATCGACACCCATATAGAACTTGAGAAAGTCCGCCTGAATGTCGATAATCTCCGAGAGTTCAGGCATGTAGAAGACGTCGTAAGGAACCCTCAGCCCCTCGGGCTGAGTCCTGCTCAGCTCGTGGATGAACTGCAGAATATCCAGACACTGCTTCAACGAGGGATCCTTACAGATGAAGTTGTTCTCCGCGCCCTTGGCCTGCTTCAGCACGAACAGAATCACCTCTTTGTACGACCTGATGAGCCTGTGGAAGACCTGAAGAGGGGCCTTGGCCCACCACATCCCGACGACCTTCTTGGCCTCCGGCTTGAGCCCCAGCAGTGCCCTGGCGAATGGCACCTGGAGGCTCACCCAGTTGCTGACCTCAGTGAACCCATGGTACAGGGGAAGCACAACGTAGACCCTCAGGGTCTCCACGTCCGGTGGGGAGGCCGCCAACGAGGGAATAAGTCCCTCCACAATCGACGTGAAGATGAGCTCCTGAATAGTGACACTCTGAACCTCCGCTATCAGTCCAAACATCCTCGACGCCTTGTCGACATCGACCCCCGAGTGCTTGCTGGAGCACCCGTAGTGCACGTCGTCCTCGAGGAGAAACGACGCGTTGATGCAGGCCTGACTCCTGAATACGGTCTCCAAATAAGTCATCAAGTCGTGATCGAGAATTTCGCCAACGGCTATTCTCTGGCACTCGCGGAGGCGCTCCTCGGTGACCACCAGGATCTGGGAGAGGCTGTCGTAGTACCTGCAGTCGTCCGGGCGCACGTTGTCCCCCCTCTTGCTGACGGTGGCGAAGCAGTGGTCGGCCCCCGAGTAAATGTGCCTGACAACGCAGTCGACGCTGTACTCGCTCCTGGGGCCGTCGACGGTGTAGATGGAGCTGCCGTTGGGGGAGACCCAGGGGCCGAGGACCACCTGGGGTAGGGGGGCACTGCCAGTTCCCTTGATCCCCAGCTGGCCGGCCCCCCCCAGGCCCCAGGCGTAGACGCGCCCCCTGGAGGGGACCAGCGCCAGCATGTGGCGCTTGCCACAGGTTATCTGGGTGACGACACTCCCCATCAGCTCCATTATCTTGCGGGGGAGGATCTCGTTGCTGTTGGTACCGTGCCCCAGCTGGCCGTACATCCCTGCGCCGCAGGTGAAGACCCCACCGTCGATGGTGAGGAAGGCTGTGAAGTCCTCCCCGCAGGAGACGTATCTCACTCTAGTCGATCGGAGAGTTCTCAGTTGGCAGGGGTAGTGGACGTTTCCGGTGAGGGGGACCCCCAGTTGGCCGAAGGTGTTCCTCCCCCAGGCGTAGATCGCCCCCGACTTGGACACCACCACCGAGTGGTGGCCACCGCAGGCCACGAAGGCGATGGGAATCGCCGCCAGCGAGGTGATCAGCTTAGGCTTGAGCTCGGACTTCGTGTCGGTCCCCAGGCCCAGCTGACCCTCCGCGTTGCTGCCCCAGGAGTACAGCTCGCCGTTGTTCGTCAGGGCCAGGCCGTGCTTCAGGCCACACGCCATCTGGACTATCACCCTCGCCCCCAGCCCCTTCACCATCCGAGGGCTCTCCTCCAGGGGAGTCTGGGAGTTCAGGCCCAACTGGCCGTCCGAGTTGCTGCCCCAGCTGAACAGCTGGCCCCACTCGTTCAGCGCCAGGGTGTGGCTGCCTCCGCAGGAGACTTGTCTGAAGGTGAAGGCGTCCGGCGAGGGGATCTCCTGGAAACGCTTGCGGGCCTTCGGGTGACCCAGCTGGCCGTAGTCGTTGTTGCCGCAGGAGTAGAGCCGACCTGCGGTGGTCAGCAGGACTGTGTAGTTCTCGCCGCACGCGATCTGCGTCACTTGGGTCGAGTCGGCGAAGTCCACCTCGCGGGGGACCAGGATCGTCTCGTCCTCGATCCCCCCCAGGCCGAGCTCACCGTGCACCGTACTGCCCCAGCCGAACATGTCGGGGTCCGGGGGCGCGGGGGTCACGCGCGGGTCTGGGTCCAGGCGACGCTTTTTCGAGTTACTTGCCTGGAAGGGAGGAGGTATTGGGTCAGTTGGCGGGCGGTTGGTTGGGGATTTTCGGGCGGCGGTGGGCGCGCTTCGAGGCGGACACGTGTAAAGAATTGGATTATTTTATGGACGGATTGGCGAGAGAATTTATAGGATTTTCGGATATGAGTCGGATATTCCTATGTGGATGTTTTTTATACAAATTTGCTCTAGACATTTCGGATGGAATTGCGACATTTCTCGGCGGTTTTCTCTGGAGCGTTTAGACGTCTTTCGGGGGGGTTTTCCGGAAAATTGAAAATTAAAAAATCGTATGGATGTTTTCATCACACTGTGACGAAAAGTGAACTTTTCGGCACGCCCCGCGTGCCAAAAGTCCAATTTCCGCCATATTGTGAGGAAAAATAGTGTTCGTAACTCGTGAAAAAATGTTTTTTAGCTCGTGGGATTATATAAACCTCCCACTCGCCAAAAAACACTTTTATATGATACGTGCGTCAACTGAAGCCCACTGTTCTAACAGTTGAGTGTGGGTAGGCGCTTGAAACCCGCACTTTCCAGTTGACTATAGTCAACTGAAACCCGAAATAACGCATGACGCGCATGCGCATCACCTATTAAAAGAGAATAACAAGGAAGGAAATCTAACCTCCGAATAGTGAATACATGGAATGACTGAAAAATGAAAAGGTGATTTTCGAAGCAGATAAAATGAGCCAAAATCGTATAATTCCTGATAGTGATGAAGAGTTAGGCAGTGAGGAGAATTTATTTACTGATGAGGAG